GGACTTGATCGCGTGTGAGTGTGTGTACTCGTGTCAAAAAAACTATTGTTGATTAACTTACACACAATCGAATCGTTGGAACTATTGTACATTACAATGGGTGTAGGTGTCTATATATACGTAATATATTATTATATTATAGGTTCACGAACCGCGAACACGCCTCAATAGTCAATTGTATGCTATAATATAAATTTCATTTTAAAATTGTTTTGTTTTTCTCGCGATTCGGATTACAATCGTCGCGAAACCTAAAACTGTGCTTTTATTATACCACATAATACCTGTACTTTGCAGCGTGTTTTCCGGGGACCTATTTATTTTTTCATCGGCACGTATTTGTATTCGTATAGTTTGTATATTGGGTATAACCGTTCTTGAAAAAAAATTTTAACGATTTTCAAATGCATTTACACGCGCAAGCTAAACGTTTTTGCCTTGATACACAAGAAAAACCATAGCCTCCTACAAGGCTAAAAACAACATATTTATATATATTTCAGTTTGTTCAGTCGTCGACGAAAAGTTCCGTCATAAATAATATACAGTTTGCTGCAGCAGTTGTATCGTTTTACACGTACTTTCGATATTCGCCGAGTGTGTGTTACAACAGAGTTGAATATACTATAATGATGCTATAGAATTCGACCGGATTTAACAAGGGCGCAGTGACGATTATTTTATGTTCCGAACTCCAATTGAGACACATAAACGATATCGCCACATCCAGTTATGACGAATATAATGTACCCAGGTACTATCTATAATTTTATGTTTGAGCAGTATTTGGTAGTGTATGCAGAATATACACGAAAACAAAAGGAGTAGAAATACTGTACACGCAGATTTAAAGGCATATAAACATTATAATATTTTTATTATTATTATATGCGCCTAGAAAACAGCGCAATTAAGTCTAAAAAAAGTAATTAAAACAAATATTTAATTTCTCTATACAATATTGATTTTAACAATTATAGTTCATAGTCAAGCGGCAATGAAATTTAATTTGGCGGGGAGGGGGGTAAATAAGAATAAAGTAACTTTAAATGAATTAGAGCCTACAAAAACAAAAATCAGAAAAATATATAAAACTACAACTTATACATATAAAATTTTTTATAACAAGTTGAAAATAAAAGTATTTTTAAATAGTATATCATTATTTATGAAAACGTATAGTGTATTTTAAACTGTATACTAAGATTTATTTATTTTTATACTAAACAATAGGTAATATTATAAAAAAACAATTTATAAATTTTTTTAATTATAATTTTGTGAATTGAAAAATTTAATTTTAAGAGTTTTTGCCTTACTTGATAAAAAGCATTTAATCTTTTGGTCTGACAGTAAAAAAAATGATTCTTGAATTTTGGTGGACTATCTAGGCGTGCTAGGTTGTGCTGAAACACACCCGATTTTAATTTTAGCACCAAAAGTTCCTTATAATTCCAATTTTGATTTTAAAATGTCAAATACTTACCTAGTTTTATCAAATATAATTTAATTTTTTATGAATTTATTACCAGTTATTTTTTTTTTTTTTTTATCTTGAGTTCCATTTGTAATATATTAGTATTGTGTATTACTTAAACTTTGGTCCATGAAAAGAGTAAACCGTTTAGTACATGCAAACCATCAATGATGTTGGTATAACAAATGAGTGGAAGATACGTCAACTCAGACTCGTTTTGGTCAGGACGTGGTTTACTTATCTTGTGGAACGAAATACATCCTTCAGAATTCTACAACATTTAAACTTATAGTTATTAGTTTTTCATCGATGAAAAAATTTAAAAATTAATATTGTGCATTCGCGTTTTTCCAACTTAAGTATAAACATCAAAAGAGATTTAGCTAATGAAATTTACATAGAAAAAATATTACTACATTTGCAAACATAAATACAAACAATTTTATTTAACAATTTTATATTTTACTGCAGCTATTTAATTTTTGCGCTATTATAATTATTTTTATATTTTTATTTTATTATTAGCTATTAGCATGCAAAACGTATTATTGATTATTATAAAACATTTAAATTAAAACGTGTATTATTCGAAAAATAGTGACTTAAATTTGTATAAATTTAATGATAATAATTGAAATAAGAATTCCGTTAAATTGAACGAAAACTGTTTTATTGCGAGACTGTTACGGGGCTTATTTTTATAATACGCCAAGGTTTTCAAAAACGTAATTGCAGGTTTCAATTTATGTCAAATAAATTTCATCAAAATCGTGAAATCGTGTACACCATCATAGTATATATATAAAATAAGACATAATGACAGAATGGTTTTCTTGAAAAATTTAATTAAGACAAGATGCGTCCAAACTCTTTTCCCATCATATTTCCCTCATTTCAACCAAACATAAATATATATATATATATTTGTGTACGTGATTACGCGAACTTCTTAAAATCTAATTCATCGCAATCGCAGAGCTTCATTTTCTGTTCTTAAATTGGTTCAACGCTCTTCCACCGCGGCCGTGCTCTCTACTTTGACGATCATCGACGCGTCTAACGTAAAAATAATAACAGAACACGTAACAAGTATACAATCATGCGACAAATACAACCCCATTTCGATTAATCAGGAAATAAAACGCTTGTTAGTGTTATTTGTGTTTCAAAGACTGTGTTGTCACGCATGCTGTGTCTTAAACCATAAACATTATATCGATCACAAAAATAGACAACGAAGAAACGTTCAAACGCATATAAACACAAATAATTAATAATGTTAGCTATTATCATCGCAGTATATTAAATATGTTATTATTTATATTTTATCCCCTGTTGCCCAGCCCCTTAAAAACGACCTCGATTACTGTAGACGTGGCTCATCGCGATGCTTTCATCGTACCTACTTTAGTTTTTTATTCCAGTTAACTACACACTAGTAGGGTTAGGATTTTTATGACTTTTGCATTTTATTTATTTTAGTCATGTACACTGTAGACCAAATTATAAATCCGTTTGATGTGACAGAGAAGCAGCTACATTAAATTTTATTTTACATATTTTTACATGTTTAGGCATTTTTAGCTACAGATGAATTTTTATACTTTCACTTCACTTTTATTTTATTATAAGTAATTTTCTGTAAATTATATACATTCTCGATAATTTTTCGTAAGTATTTGATATCAAATAAAACAACTTTTTACAAACCTTATCTAAGTAAAAATAAGTTATGTATTATAAAAAATGTATTGAATAAACTTAAAATTTATATTAAATTATTTTTAAATCTATTTTATAATTTCATGTTTGATTGTTTTAAAAATACAAACATCTTAACGCTTCTCATTATGATACGAATTTAATGATGAAAATTCTCCACTTTTCTACGTATGTGTCATAGTATATTTTTATAGGTATAACTATCAAACCGATATATGGTTGACAGTATAATATTTCTACGCTGTATATAGGTATATTGTATACGAATTAACCGTCGACACCAACAATTTTAAATACATGTATGATTTTTAAACGTGCGCGCTCGTAGAATAGCAAAAAAAAAAATGTAAGCAAATAACACCTACAAACCATAGCGATTAAATTATGGAGGGAGGGTCACGTTACTGAGGGTTAGAACGCGTGTATCGTGGTTTTAAGTATACCGCTCGCGTACGTTCAATATGACACAAAGTAGTGGTCACGTACAAAAAAGCGATAAATTTCGCGAAAGGATAGAAATTTATTTTGTTACCCATAACGAAAAGATCCAAATTGGTTTTTTTTTCTGCGGCCAAGTGATGAAACCTTGACTGCCTGCATAGTGTTATATATTAAATAATATATACACGAAACTTAAGCTTTATCCTCACGAAAAGGGATAATCTGCTTCCGACCGTATATTTATTTTTTTATTTACCTAACATATACAGCGACAGTATATAATGTACTTTACTAAAAAATATCAATGAGGAGAGTTGCAGAGATTATATTTATCCAGACGGTGTATGAGTGTATGCAGGTGCAGAAAATCTTTAAAAAATCTAAAATGAAAGAAGCTACATTTATTTCAGAAACAACATACAATTAACATCATAATTTTAATACATAATAGATTATATAAGTTTAAATACGATTTGATAATAATATTAAAAATTGTATTTTTATTTTAAATGTATTGATTTTAAGACGTATAAACTAAATATTATATAAATAAATATATAATATATTATATGTAACATTTCAAAGTCGAGGGGGTTAATAAAGTCCCTTAGTCTCTCTCCTGGATCCTAGCCTATGAGCGTTAATGTGTCTATGCGAAATTTATACAAAACTTTAAAATATTATAATATATTGTCATTTCCGTAAGAGATTTCAGGATGTTTTATTAAAAAGACGCCCTACAACCTCAACTCACTTAAACAACCTACTTACTTATTTTCAACTCACAAACGTACAACATTTTACATTTGACCGATTTTTTTATGCACAAAAATAATTGCGAGGTTTTTAATACTCTATAATCCCCGTAACCTCTTGTATTCAATTTGCACCAAAATGTGCACACATATTTCATGAGACTAGAGTAATGCTTATATATTCGGTTTTTAAACCTTTATAGGTTGCTATAGAGAGGCTAACTTATGAATTTTGTTTTGGTTCACGAAAATCAAATATTTTTTTTTTATGTTTAAGGTTTTCAACCTTAGCAAAATAGTTAAATGATTACATATAATAATGTTCTACGCACTTAATATATTTCGTCGTTTAGGCTAATATATTTCTTTATACATATAAAATCGAGTAACAGATATTATATATATATTTTAGGCTTATGCACTAAAAAACTAGGTACCTACTCAGTCGATTTTGACGAAAAATAATTGCACACTTTCGTTTCATTTATCCCCGCGCAACGCCGTCGGGTGATGCGACCAGTACCTCCTAATATTATAAACAATATCAACTTTAATAATATAATTATTTACAATATTATACATATTATTTAAATTTTCCTATACAGACTCGCGATCCGGTGGCACTCGAGGCGGGTACAGCACAAATCGCGAACATGATCGGCGGCGACCGTTGAACGGCGATGGACGACAACGACGACGGAGGTGGCAGCAGCAGCAGCAGCCCCGGTGGAGGTGCAGACGAACGGCGTTCGGTCCGGCACCACGGCAAACACCACAAAATGGCCCCGCCGAACAGATGGCCGGCCGCCGGTGGATCGGCAGCGGCCGTCGCGTCGGTGGCCGACGTCGTCCGTCCGGCCGCGGTCGTCGCGAGCCACCACCACCGCCGGCACGACGTGTTGGCCGCTGTGGTCGGCGGCAACGACACCGCGGCCAGGTCGCCACAGCCGCCGCCGCCGCCGCCGCACGTGTTGCAACACGCCGCGCCGGACAGCATGTGCTACACGACCAACGAAGTTCTCGTCATCATCGCCGTCACGTGCTTCCTGAATTTCGCTTTCATATTGCTCATCATGACGTGCGTGCACTGCTTCACGGACCCGTCGCATCATAAGAAGTAATGTGCAACAGTATACCTATAATAATAGTTATGTTACAATGCATGTGTGCTGTGTGATAAATCTTCAAGTATATAATGTATAGGTACCGCAATCGTGGTTCTGAAATTTAATTAATAGGTACCCGTGGTACCCGGGAACGCGAATCTACAAATCCAGTTTTTAAATTTTAACGATCGGCTGACTCGGAGATTCATTGGCTCACGATAAGCGATTACCTATTTATTTTTTATTTATTTTTTTAAGTTGCCATTGCAGGTTACATAAAATAAAATAGTTAATACAACTGGATATTATTTTAGACATGGTTTTTTTAATTGGACAAAAACGCACAAAGAACTTTGAAAATAATCTCTGCGGTTTATATTTACTCAGCGGAATTTAAGGCAGGATAATTCCACTGGCTTTATTTGAAGAAAACACTGTCCAAGTTCAGCTGGTATATTATAATAGTAAACTGTAAATTTTCTCGAGAAGATTTGACCTCGTCCGTGTTTTCTATCAAAATGTATCCAAATCTTAATTGATCTTATGTCAATTAATTGTGTAAACCGACTAGAATAATTATTATTTAAAAATACATTTTTGATCCTTATTGTGACTTCTATATTTTTAGTGAAATACATATTGTGCAAATACATTGTTGAAAAAACTATATTTTGCTAGAAAAAATAACAAAATATTACACCGACTTGTGCATATTATAATTGAAAAATGTTTATAGAAACAGTTCAACTTTAGCTTCTATATATAATATTCAAATGTTAAATTATTATTTGTTAATAAACATTAAGAGGATAATATGATCCTTAAAAATAAATTAAAGTATATCTACACCTTTTTTTACATGCAGAGTAAAAAAATAATATTTTTATTGACATTCTGCATACTATAAAAAAATATACGCACCATGAACGTCAAAACTTTATAAGATCTAACTTTTTAGATTGACGAGAATAAACGATTCCATCGCGGAATTATTACCCTGATACCTACTCTCTGACCATCACATGACTTTAAAACAAGAAATTTAAGTATACAAAAAAAATGTCTGCAATTTGTTCACCGCATTATGTATGTTTAAAAAATCAAGAAAACCACACGAATCCTATGCTTCCGACCCATAATTATTATAATAAAGGTTTGTTTAGTTTGGTACCTAAATATTAAAAATGATTTGCAATTTTAATATTGTTTGTTTAAGAAGTGCACCTTCATTTTAGTAGTATAAAACGTATATAAAATACAATTTTGCATATTTTACTATTATTTAGATTATAGTATTATTTAAATTATTTTGTATGCATAAATATGTGCATATTTTACATTTTTTTTTTTTTTGCTTTAAATTCTGAAACCATTAACATCTGGTATTTACATTTTAGATGTGCAACAAACACATTAAGGTATTATTATTTCACGCTGTATCATTTTTAAAGTCCAAACTTTAAATATTAATAAATAATAACTTACGTACAAACTACTATTGTTTAATATTCGATATTTATACATCAATTTAGAGATATCTCTTACGATTTCCATAAATTAAACTAGTAATTTTTCACGGACGTGATACTGGCTTAGACATTATAAAACATATAAATGTATACGATCCTTGAACTTTGGATAATGGCAAAAAATTAACACAGCACTGCATATATATATAAATATGATAGACAAATACGTAGAGTATTGTGCAGGGTATATAATTTAAACTGCGCGTCTCGAATTTTTCGAAGCGACAACGCATTATTGTCGTATCATTTAACATAACAAAGTAAAAAAACGCCTTAAAAAATGGATAAATTTAAATTAGTTATTATTTGTTGATGAGGGTAGGGTAGATGGATGGGCCAGTGAATGTTGTGTTAATGACCAACAGTTTCATCATGTTTTAATGATAAACATTAATTTTTTTCGAAAAGTATTTACAGTTTTGTAAATATTTTTTTACACGATTTCATTCATTTTAATTTTATTTCATTGATAAATAATACTTTTAGAAAAGAAATATATGTATATATATGCATGCATTATTTCCCTTTTTTAAATGACAAGTAAAATAAAACATTAATAGAATAAAATATATGAAATATTTTTTTGAGAATTCCAATTACATAATATAAAAATCGAAGTTTTTACAAGTAGTTAATTATGGTTAAAATTTTGATAAGCGCTACAATATTCAAACACTTTACGAGGTACCCCAGTGCCACTCTTCTCCACTCAAACAAAACTTAAAATACAATTTTAACTAATTATAATTAATTATTTGATCGAAAGTCGATTATTTCATATTGAAATTTTCAAACGAATATTCTGCTTTAGAATATAAATTTTAAAATGTTTATACTATTAATCATGAAAGTAAATAAATATACACCAACTCATACATTTAAACATTTTGATTATTAATAGTTGTAACTTGCAACCATATTTTCATTTACTACTCATAAGTGATTTTCAATACTACATAATGTCTAGTGGCTACCATAACGTGCTTAACTAGCTATTTTAAAGTTAAAGTAAATTCCATTAATCAAACCTGGTAAAAAAAAAAAAAATCACAACCCCTAATTAGTTACTGTTTAAACTCAGTTTTTTCCCAAATTATAATTTTATATTACATTACAAGTTACCCACCGTTTACTTAATATTCCGTGTTCCAATAGAATTAATTTACAAAATTATTAGATTAAATACCTATCATATTTTAACCAAGAAAATTAGATTTATATGCTAGTTAACGTATTTATTTTTTATTTTTTGATGATAAAATTAAATAATTATCTTTATACTATAATTTTATAAATTGTTACGCAATCAATAATAGACATAATTATAAATGCATAAAAAGTAATGGATAATTTAAAAAATATATTAAAGGATTTTTAAATTCATGTAAACTATATCATAATAATAAAAAAAAAAAATATGGTAAACTAACACTTTTGAAGTACGGCCAGCGAGAATTGTCACTGTATTATTTTGGAAGTGTGTAAAATGCGATTCCATTGCGAATGAAAAAATACATTTTCTGTGACGAGTGTGACGCGTAGATTTTTTAACGTCAAAGCCTCAAAAAATTTTATATAGCTATTTTTTTGTTTACTAGGTTTCTATAAAAGCGTTATACATCTTAACGGTTCTTTTACTTCTAAACGCATTCCGTGAATGTCTACAAAAAAAACGATTTTTGTACCAATTGAATTTCCTGTTAGCCAACAATAACGACAATTTACTACTAAAATACACATGTCCTTAATCGTACGATTTTTTATTAACTGCCGTATCGTTGTATAATATATTTTAATAAGAGTTAAACAAAAATTTTAATTCTAACTATATATTTACCAGTTTTACTACAATTATATATTAATTTATTTTTAATGAAAAATCTAATACTTTTCTACCAGCTATTTATTTAATAGTTGTACTTTATATTATTCATTTTTTTAATAAAAACCACCTATATTTTTAATTCTATAGTTTGAACCAACAAAAAACTTTTTTTAAATATTGATGTATGAAAAATAATATCGAATATTGAATGAATAGTTTTTTTTTTTTTTTATTATTATTAAGCGTAATATAAAGTTCACATGAATGGAATTAACTTTAACCCTGAACTTTAAATTTAAATGCTTTCATTAATTAAGCAACAAAAAACATGTTCGGTATTTATACATTGTCTTTTTAATAAAGTATTCTTTCTGCTAATGAAATTAAAAATTTAGGTTGTCATAAGAAAAATATATACAACCTCGACTATTAAACAAAATTATAAAATTAGATTATTGTGTAAAAAGTAAAAAGTGTTATAATTACTTTAAATTATATTATATTGTATTAAAACACTACGGATTGCAGTATTTTTTTTTTAAATTTTTCTTCTTGAAAACAATATAGGTAGCCGTAGTCGCTCTTGAAATATTATGTTGCTTGACTGCAGTCAACGAATTATCACGGTAATAATAAATCTACATCAAACTTCCGATGGACATAGATTGAATAATTTACGCGAATTCGAATCGTAGAACGATTATTACAGAAAAAAGTGTCTTTAGCTCATCTAACAGGGGTCGGTAAAAAGAATACCCGAATACGCACGGATGCTATATAGCAGCGGATTCGTATATTATTAAAACCTACAACAGCAATTGCTTATCCTCGCCGCGTTCTGAATCTTTAAAATAAAATCGTGCAAAATCATTTCCGCAGCGCTGCTGTTTAAATGTATTTTTATTTTCGTATTTCATTACTTCCTTTATTATAACTACGTGACATAGAACCGATTGCAAACCGTTTCTGTCGAAACAAAGTAAACAACTATTAATATCTGTTATTACATAAATTAAAATTATAATTGTGTATTTAATATTATATTAGATATAGATTTATTATTGTCAGTGCATAAAGGTAGACAATAAATTATAATTAAAAGTTTCAAATTGAATGTTGTTTCGAAATTACTTTTGTTAATAATATTACAATATCCGAGAACGTGTATTCATTTATATATATTTATATATATATATATATATATATATATATATACAATAATATGAACTCATCCCGATAATTAATACACTGGTTTCCTCTACGTATACTTTGAAGTTTATTATAAATATTTCACATAGTAATGAATGAACAATCAGAGCTTTTATATACATCACGAGGAGATCCATTTTAACGAATAACATTCATTAATTCAGAAAACATTAATGTTTTCGAAAATATTTCTTTTAGATTATTGTTAGTTATTACTTATTACAAAGCATTGTTAATAATAAACAATTATATGCTTATTTTTTATTTATCATTATCGTTTTTGGAGTTTTTCCTCTTTTTAATGACAACATTTAGCAATAATTTCATATTCTAAAACACAATATTATACGGAGTACTTCGATCTATAAAAGTTAAATTTCAGACAAAAAGTTTATTAGTTTAAACTACTTTAAGTTTGAACAAACTGAAAAGTAGAAATTGCACCCCT